CTTTTATCGCAAATGTAGCAATTGTGCGTGGTGAAAACGAATGTTATACCGTATCGATGATTCTTGCGTGATTTTTTTTTTACTTTTTCCCTTTTACCTTCCTATGAACTTTTGTTCTTCCGAATGGCAAAAAAGCTAGTTATTACAGTCGGTGCGGCGAGATACGGGACCGGGCGGACTTTAACGGAAAATTGTGACTAAATCCGGGCGGAAGCCGCGATAGAAAGAATCGGCGTCAGGGTCGGCGGGTCGGGGCGCTAGCGACGGGCGTGTTTAACGAGTGTGTGTAAGAGAGAGGCTCCTTTCTCATAGAGGCCGGGCTCTACTATTACGTCACGTAGTCAATAGCCCCTGGGACGCCAGTGGCACGTGACAGCGTCAACGTGTCAACCCCTTTATGCTATATTGCCGGGCATTATGCCACTGTATTATCGAGCCTTCCTACAACGACAGCCAGCCGCTGCATTTCGGGGTGCAGCTTACAGTGTACGCCCACGCGTGCGTTCGTGTGCGCGCGGTATCGTTCGTCCGTGTATGCGCGTGACACCGCGTGTGCGTGTGTGATAGTGCGATCCGGCTATATACGTACGCGCAAAAGCCGCCCCCCCCCCCACATGACGGTCCGCAGGTCCAGGATCGAAACGGAAACGCGTCAGGAGCAGATGTAGCGACATGTATCCGCGAGCGTCGGAACGACCTGCATCAAAGGAAGAACCCGCACTATCGCGCCCTTTTCGAGCGAAACGATTAAAACGCGGGCCGCAGGTGCACAGCTGCATTTTGCCGCGGACCGTGAGGTCGTTGGTGATTAATAGCGTTTAGAGTAGTGCCCAGGAGGACCTACGTGCGCGCGATTTAGTTTTGTCTTTCCGAATGTTTTAACGCTCGTTGAATAAAAGAGGATTTACAAATTCGAGTACGTTCCAATTTTTCACTCAAACGATCGTCCGTTCGCGAATTTTCCATCCGCTCATGAATTAGAAAATATATTTCCCCATCGAATAAATACAACGTGTTGCAAATTAACGATATATACGCATTGGAGAACGATAAATATCATTTTTCAAAGATTTGAGTTGCTGCATCGTGCATTTTCGACTGGAGCCAATCGGATTGCGTAATGTTAATAAATTATACTCGTTTATTCTTTCCGCGGTGCGAAAGGCACATTGTCAATAAATTTCCGTGGATTATGAGTGGAATCCTTTTTCGAATATTATCTCCAAATATATATATATACACCCATATATTTTTTAAGAGATGTAAAACGTGAAATGAAATTAATTTAAAAACGCGAGCTTAAGCTCACCAAAACTCTCTTTCTCTCTCACCTTTTTTTACCTCATACCATTACTAATAATAAATTATCAATACTTCATATTCATATTAATAATAAACGCGACTGTCAAACACTCTATATATAAATATTATTAAAAATTTGTCGCATAGGTAACAGAGAGACATAAATTTTTAATTACTTGCAACTTTAAAATATTTTCTTTAAATTCTCTTTCAGTTAATCCACTTTAGCTCAACCATTTAAAAAAATATGATGAAATAATTATTTAACTCATTGCGGCTAATATTTCTCAGACTATTAACAAATTAATTTTTATTTCTATCAGTTTGGTACATTGTGATAAAACTGTTTTTCAAGTAGTACCCTAAACAGTTTGTGCATCTTTTAATTTTTATTTGCGTGATATGAGATTTAATGTCAGTAATATCTGTAGATAATGATATTCAAATAGTCGTATTTAGTTCTATAAAAACGGCAAAAATAAAAAGCAAAATGGATTTCGTATTCCTCCGACGCCACACGAGCGAACTTACGGAGTAATTTACATTACCGCCAACTTTAGCGGTGAAAATCAGCTTAAGCAAACAGAAGATATAGGATTAAAAAATCTAAGAATACGCGAAAAGAACCGCCGGCATTTAATCCGGTTAACCAAATTGCTGCATTTTTCAGCACGCCAAGATGATAACGACGACGGTGGCGGCAAACGAAATCACGAGCGCGAACTACGCGGCACACGCCGCGCAAGCGGGAGGGACATTAGGCCGAGTCCGAGCTTTTTTTTCTCTAACTATTAACGGTGCCGTCGCGTTGGCCCGTTTCAGTCGGGCGCGATTCGTACGTGCAAAACGTGCTAAAATATGTACAGATCGCGTAATGAAGGTATGTTTAATAAATAACCATCCAGAATTGCGCGCTCTCTCTCGCGCTCGCACTCTCGTTATATGCGGCCAGAGCGTTCGAGTATACTCGAATATAATTTACATACAGAACGCACACGTATATACATGTACACATGCGTGTGTGTGTGTGTGTGTGTGGTGTACGTGAATGCACCTGCAATGTATCCCGCACAACTTGCATGCACGTTCTCATCGACGTATAAATGACAGTCGGCTGTTTGCGTTCGTATTATGCGTACGTACGCTGCCATACTTGTCGGCGGCAGGTACACGTGGTCAGTACCGTCCATACACGTGCGATCTCTGGAGAAATGTGCACAAAAAAAAACGGATGCACGATCACGGGAATGACAGAGGGAGGATCGCGCGATTTTTGCGGTGGTAACTGAAATCAATGCTGACTTGAAACACTGCATTTTGATGGGTCGCCGTAGATCTACCTCAGTCAAAGTTCACCGACCTGTCCGCGACGGAATAGACGGAGCAGGGGCTTTCTTTTAATCCATACGAGAGATTATCTTTTCATGCCGACTCGCATCGAAAATTAATCGTTTTCCTGCTCTCCCGGCGCGGCCGCTGAAATAACGCGCGATCGACTCCACTCGTAACGTATGCGCGAAACGTTTCGCGGCACACACGATCGTATGTTTTATTATGTAGGTATGTTTTATTCTTATCCTCCCCCCCCCTCCCCGAACACGTCCATTTTTAATGCAACGACTCCGCGAAAGCTCTAAGCCCTGATACGATTTCAAGCCGCACACACGCGGAAGTTAAATATTCCGCGGCGAAAATAACTTTTCGCGCCGCGTGTGTACGGTGCGCTTTTTCGGCTACCTCACTCCGCTTTCGCCATTTTCGTAGCCGATATCAGTTTTTAATGGAACGTATAGTATACGCCCGCGCTCGCTCTGTTTGCCCGCGCGAAACGCAACCCTTTGAGCTCCAAAATAATGCTAACAAATTACCTCATATTAAATATTCCAGTTTTCACGTACAAATATCACTAAAGCTGTTAGCGTGATGGCAATCGCTTAATGCAATCAGCAATTAAGGGTTACAAAAATCTCTCTACTTGTTTCAGTAATTCGAAAAACTGCAGCTAATTTATCAAAATTCAGAGAATTAAAAAATGAGATAAATGTACATATATATATATATATATATATATATATATATATATATATATATATAGTTTTTTTGATGGCTTCTCCTCTTTGGGAGGAAAAATAATTTCAGTCAAAGGGAGTTCTCGGATTGACGCAATGGCTTTTCGCGTTGGCATTGCGAACAGTAGGCATAACACTGACACAGATGAGCAATGAAAGCCCGCAGCATCGTGTTTCACAGCCCGTTATCGCACCTATACATCCGTCCGTCTCGTAAACAGCCTCCTCCTCGCGCACGCGATTTACACACAGATACCCGCATACACAGAGATCGCGCGGTGAACGTGCGGATACAGGCCTCTCGCCACATCCGAAAACACTTCCCGCTGAAGGGGGGGATCATCCCCGAAATCCCGTCGCGCAGCCACGAATCGCGGCCCGCGGCGTGTGGGGTTGTCCGCGACTCGTAAAATTGCCGTGGGTGGTTTCGATTCTCGGATTCGAAATAGATAAACGTGCCTCGACTTCCAATCGTTTAACCACCATGGATGGGAAATATTTTTTTCTTTTTCAAAGTGTAATAAGACATTCATGTGAGACGACAAGATATCACATAATATCTCGGAGATTATTATATAATTTCAAAACCACGCACACGCATATTATCAATACTAAATTGAGTTAGTTAAATGTAATAAAATCCTGACAGCTGATTTGAGTAATTTGGATCTGTATGTTATTTGTTGAAGCAATGTTTTATGATTAAAATATTGGGAACTTTTGGGTCAGATATCCGCGGCTCTTGTTCACTCAATTTCAATAACAGATTTTTTTTTTTACAAATTCGGGGAACGGTTTTTCCGAGCGTGCTGATCAATTTTTCGCGATGCGAACCGTTTTCAGCTCGACAGAAAGGTCGGCGGGTGCCTCTCTCGCGGGAGAGATTGCCGGCGAATCAGGAGTGGCGGTTAGGGCCGCCAGAAATCTCCGACAGCGGCGGAGCACCCCGCGGCTTTTGACATCGGATATGTATGACATCGTCCCGCCGATATGTTTCGGATTCGGGGCGTCGATGTATCGGATCAAGGGGCGCATCCGTGCGTGATCGAGCCGATCCCTCGGGCTTCTTTTCTCTCCGCCCCTCTCCCGCCGGGATATGCATACACACCTTCCTCTATACGAACTTCGACTTAGTATCTCGACTTTGAGCATTACAGTCGGGAATCGGGCTAAACGACTATTTCCGCAACTCCTTTATTCCGCTTGTTAGTTTGTTTGAAGAACAACGGAAGGGAAAATTGCAAAATCGCAAATTCTCGGCGCTGAAGATTCTTAAGCATCTAACAATAGCATGTACTATTGAAGCGTATAATATACTTAAATAAAAATCTGTATCCGGAAAATTTCAAGAAGAGAGAATTTAAAATTTAGAAAAATTGTGGGTCATCGATCAATTCTTTTTTACAGTACAGTACAAAAATATACTAAGTATATCTCTCTTTTCTTACTTTCGTTCGAAAGCCACAGAATCGTATCGGTTATTCTCGATTCTCGAAATATTTATGACGATGAACGAAGTTGCGAAACCCGACGGTCGTCGAAAAATATGATTACACCGTGCGACTGTCGGACGATGTATAACTATATTTGCGCACTTTCACGTGCGATTTGCTGGGAATAAAAACTCACTTGGCAGGGAGCGTAGTTGTCTTCATATTTTCCAGACTACCCAGGCTGCGTTCGTGACACTCGGCAGCGGCAAACATGGTGAATCTGCAAAAGGGGGGGCGTTAATCTTCGTTTCCTGAGGAAAGTTCAGTAAGAAGTATTCCAATTTTTCACGCTGACGTATATGTATATGACTCCCAGCGTGAGAACTTATAGTTCAAAAACATAACAGCGAGAAATTATTTTGTCTCGGCGGGACACGGGGCCGTTTCCATTACGTGACATTTCATACCGTGTGTTTATTTCATGAATTTTTCAGTTTCCGTAATACGCACGCCAAATGGAAAACCCAAAAAATTCACAACAATCCGTAAAATATTAAGTAATCGATCGACTCTTAAACTATATAATAAATCTCTTACAATTTATTATACATATATGTAACTAATCGACACTTTTATTATTTATATCAGTGAAAGTCGCAATAAATCATTTCTTATATGTCTCATAATGTACATCAACTTCCTTATTGCCTAACCGGTTTGTACAGTGCACGTCTGCTCGTGCAAAATTTTAAACCGCGTCCACCTCGAGGCTAAGCATTTTTACGTTCGCCGGCTATTTTTCATGCGCGAATAATCCAACACGCGGTTGCCGTATCCAGGATCAGTGTCGAAGCGTTCATAAGTTTGGCTATAGACGTATCTTGAGCATGGGATAGAGGAAAGGGGTAAGAAGGGGTTGCGACAGTGGAGTGCGTGCCAGAGAGACATGAACTCTGACGGGGGCGGATGAATAATGGGCCGGCGCTTTGACACCGTGAGCTGCTACGCCTAACTCGAAAGGAACGAGGGGAAGGCGCGAAGCTTGGGAACGGGGGGTGTATGCGCGCAGGTAAAACGGGGGGGGTGTTCGGCCAATTCTCCTCGCGGTAGAGAACGAAGGACGGATGACAGGGTTGAAGAACGAGAGAAAGGGGATACGATCGTGGTAGTCGGTAAAGGTCTGTGTAAGGGTGAGAGGCCGTCGAGCGCAGGGAAAGAACGTAGAACGAGCCGGCCCGTGATTTATATTCATAACTTTAATACGAACCAACTTGCAGTCACGTCGTCATAACCCGCCACCGCCACCATCGGCCACCATCGCCACCACTGCTGCCCGAGTAATTTATGTATTTCTCCGAGCGCATCGACCATCGAGATTCGCGCAAGTGGATGATGCGAGCCGATTTTGAAGCTCGAAATAAAATCGCACGTTTAATCGCAGCCTGGCGATTTCTTCGCAAAGTGCGGCGATTGATCACAGGTTTGTTAACCAAATTTATTGAAATGTAGTGTTTGAATTGAGTATCAATGAAAATTCAACACAGATTGACACGTAGATGACACAGAAAAAGCTAGGAAAGTTTGCAGCGATTAAAGATTCATCGGTTAAAACGAGACAGAGCTATAGTATATACACAGCTTTTCTCATAATGTCTCCTTCGCATTCTTAGCAAACTTAAAATTAAATAAAGTGCATTTCATATAATGTATTTAATACGCTAAATATTTTTTCTTAATTAAAATTCTTCCAAGGAGAATTATTTAATACAATATTTCCCGTTAACGATAAGCGAAGATGTTGTGGTAAATATTACAACAAAAAACTTTCCTGTACTAATGCACGAGAAGCAGCATATTTTTAATCGCTACTTAGTCAACATATGTTTTCAAAAATATGTCAAAAAAATTAATTTTGAAAAATAATCAAAAGCAAATAAAATCAAACGAGAGACCTATATATTTACTCGGTTAATATTTCCTTCCACAAGATACACCGAATTGGCAAGGATTATCGTGCAGGTGACATGGTTCGGCCACCAGCAAATTTGTACGAAGGCGAGATAGAAACAAAGTGAGACGGGATGAGGAGAATGACGAGTATACGCAAGAGCGAGGTCGGACATAAAATCTTTATGCTGGGGAAAGGCTCTATGCTCAGCCAAGGCTCCAGCCATCCCGTTTAATTACGGATTCTAAAGCTCTTCGCCTACTATCTGGGCGTATTCGGTTATTCCAGTGTTATTGCCAGTTTTACGATTCCCCCTTTCGGCATCGTTGTCGCGAAGGAATCGGGTTTCCGTAAATATCGTTGTTCGATGAGCCCGCGGAAATAATAACGTCGAATTAGCCTCAGAACGCCGAATCACGTATTGTTATCACTCCCCGAACGATAATGAAAACGCGATACAAGATATGGCGAAATAATATTCGTCGGATAGATGAAACATGAATATTAGTTTGGTAATCAAACGCAAAGATAAATATATATAAGCTATAATTAACATAATTATGTTCTGCAATTGTAAGTAAAGAAGTTTCTAGCTGCTCAATCATGTCGTAAAATAAACGTGGAGTAAACCGGACGATCAATCGTCGTCGACGCAATTACGGGGATAATTCTAGTACGTGGTAGCTTTCGAGGCGTAACAAGGCCGACAAGAGAGTCGCGCGAGAGTCGACGGGGGAAGAAATGCTCTCGTTAGTTGGCGGCGCAACGCGCTTAAAGTGCGAAAATGTTTAATTCACCCACTTTATACCCACAATATGGAATATTCTACTAAACTCCGGCGCTCATTAAGAAGCTGGACAATTTGTACGATCTTAATGACGAGCTGCCGATTCGTAGGACTTAATCCGTCCGTTTCTCCTTCCTTCGTATAGCGCGACGAGGTCCGCCGCCGGCCCATTCGTCCATTTCCCTTTTCTACGTACGATCGCGCGGAGCGACACGCTTCTCCATCGGTCTGTCTGACCTAATCCGTCTTTTTCCCCTTCTCTTGGTCGCGCGCGCAGTGGGCCTCGTCGCCGGCCCGCCTGACCTAGTCCGTCCGCATTCTCCTTCGGTGCAGCGCGACGCGTCTCATCAGAGTTGAGAACCGCTACCTGGCTTTTAATTAACGCGCAGCTACCCGTCGCCTTTCAGCTCATAATATTGTATGTCCGCGTATCGTCCGCCCGCGTCTCAAGATCTGAAAAGAATTTCACGACGTTACGACCGACGGTGGGGATTTTAGGGGCGTAACGGCCGTTTTACGTCACGCGAAACGAGTCCCGGAAAATTCCGCAGAAATTTATGCCTTCGGCTAGCGAGGGCCATACGCTCGAACAACGGCGCGATATATCTTCTTAATTTATTATTTTTCGACCGTAAGACATTTTTGTCATACTTGTCGCAAGATAAGACGTATAATATCTATGCTTCCACGATGATTAATGATAATAAGTGAGAAATCCGTTTCATTAACACCGCGTAGAATTGCGCCGAATATTTCTCGAATTAGCGAGGGGAGTTCTCTTTCATTTTCGCGAAAAGGGGACACGAGAAAGGTCGGGGGCGGACTGCCAGGTGCAGGCACTTAAGATCGCGCCGTGCTACTTAGCGGATACTACGAGAGATCGGCGGCCAAAACTTCCGCTTATTTCCCCGCTATCCTCTTTCTTTCCATCGCGGTTCCATCCTCGTTTTCTCCTGTTCGTTTGGCTCGGATTTTCTTAACCTACCACGGCGCCGCGGCGGAACGCAAATAGGAGAGTGAACTTGACTAAAGTTCAATATACGGTCTGCGGTAAGGAAGGCGAGCCGCGGGGACGAAGACGAACTTTTAAGGTTACAAACTCAGCCGAACTGCCGGTCCGACAGTTTGGATTGATTTTAATATCGACTTTGTTCTCGAACTCGGCTACTACCTCGGTACTTTCGCGTCTTCTTTTCTCCGGCTGTGTGCCTGCTACCCTTCCACTCTTACCACGAGGAAAACAAGAGAGAGAGAGAGAGAGGGCTGTACTTTATTCCAACCTGCGCTAAGCAGAGACCCCGATACGCTTGTTTGTAGCGAATAAAATACGATAAAACACTATTCGACGTTTCTGATCATCATAAATCGATTTCACTCGGTCAAATAAAGATTGCTTGCAGAACATAAAATTATTCCAAAATTAAAATTAATGAATTACATGAAATACCTTCTGCGTTAAAATTCGACAACTTATCGTGCATTAATTATATTTTCTCATTAAGTCTTATTCGCTATTTACTTTAATTATAAACAAAATAGAAAGGAGATAAGAATCGCTGCCTGCGATATTATTCGAGATGCAGCTTCCACAATTTGCGCGCGCGCGGAGAGAGGAAGTATCCCGGGTTGTTGGGTGGTGGCAGCTCAATTTAATTCGCGGCTTAATCGTTTTATCCGCCTCCGATGTGTTGGGACGGTGGCGAGGTACGCGAGAATTTGCAAAATACTTGGCTCGTCCGTTGCGAGCGACAAGGGAATATATACCGCGACGGAGTCATTAGCGTCGGCGAGCGGCCCAAAGTGGCTGTACCGAATTGAAAAGCCGGTCGCGCGCGGCGCACGCCGCGTAATCGCAAAGGAAGTTTTGATTAGTTGCGACAGAAATTGACGTTTCCAGCATCCTAGAGCTACGGACAGCTAATTCCGGAAGTTGAAGTCACACAAGTCGGCGCCGGCGCCGCGTCGCTACGGGATTTCGCTTACTTTCGTCTTTGCCCGCCCATCCGCCCATCCATCCGTTCATTTCTCGTTCCCGGGGGAGAGAGAGGTATGCATCGCGTTGTATTATATTATTTAATTCTTCATTCGTTGTATTTTTTTTAAAGCAATTACGATATTGCGGTCGAACACGTAAAATAACAATGATTGTTATTACGCCGACGATAAAACTGACTATTTCGCGACTGTTATCGCAAGCTGTTGCCGCACATTCCCCGTCTTTCTCTCGTCCCCCTCCCCGGGATACTATTCTTCCCATCTCTGTTTTCCGGCTCTCTTTGCCGGCACCGTTAGCTCCTATCCCGCTTCTTTATCTCTCGCAAGCGGAAGCGCGTGTTCGTTCGCATGTGGGATACCCTCGAACCACCCGGATGATTCACGGTCGAGGTTATTGCCGCCCTCCTGCTTAAAATAATGTAAAGACACGAACGGTTATTATGCTATTGAGCTGAGTAAAGCGCGAGATAACATCGATTACGACGTAGCGTGGATACCGTATAGACGCGGTTAATTCCGCGTTACTGCCCACCGCTGTCGCATAAAACCG